AAATTATTATTATTTAGTACAAGGTCTACAGGGTCTCACTACACAGATCAGACTTGTAGTGATCCTCCTGGTTTCAGCCTCCCAAGCACTGATTAGGTATGTGACACTGTAACCAAGGGATTACAGGTATGTGACACTATGCCCGGACTCATTCACCAGGTCAGCGTGTCCCGGGGGCAGGGCCAGCACGGCATGCAGGACCAGGGATTGAACCCCGGTCCCTGCGCTTGCCAAAGCAGGCACTTATTCCACTGGGCTATCTCACCAGCCCTGTCCCTACCCTTTACAAAGTACTCTTGCCCATCTGCAAATCTTGACCTGACCCCTAGAGGAGCAGGGGCAGGATTTTCTTTTGCTTTTCTTTTCTTTTTTTGTCTTTTCAAGACAGGCTCTTGCTATGAAGTTCAGACTGACTTTGAGCTCATTCTGTAGCCCGGGCTGGTCTTGAACTTGCAACGATCCTCCTGCCTCAGCCTCCCGAGTGCTGGGCTGACAAGTATGTGCCACCACACCTGGCTAGGAACAGGATTTATGCCTCTGACCTCTGAATACTGTGGATAGCACTTGCACCCACCAGAAGCAGCCAATAAAAATCAGGAGTAAATACATCAAGAGGTCACCCCCTGGTCCCATGGGTCACCACCACCATGTCAGCACGCAGTCAGGGTCTCGCCAGGGACGAGCAGAGGCCTGGCTCGCTTCCTGGACTGTTCTCATCTCCCCAGCAGCCATCAGTACCTTCCTTGGGGCACTTCATATCTCGGGGTCCAGGGGTCTCCTTTGAATCTCCCATATGTGGAGCTGAGTTGGGTTCAGAATTGTTGGAATTGGGGGACACAAAGCTAAGAGTGCTTGGCAGTGAGCAGGGTGAGGGGCTCTTGGTTTCCCTGACACCCCCAAGTGAAACTTCCTGCCATGAATAACGTTCTCTTGTCTTCAGTCCCCAAGGAAAAGAATCTGCCACCGAGACACATGTCACTGAGGTGCAGTGACATGCTTGCTTCTCCAGAGGGAAGGAGGTCACCCAGATGTCCCTGTATGCTGATGACAGAGTGTCATCCCAAAGGCTGATGAGGCTGGTGTGGGCCAGGCGCAGATGTGTTAGGATGTCTCCCAGGGCCAGGAGCCCACAGAAAGGTGGCTCTGAGGTCCCCTCACCAGCCCCCACCATCACCCTGGCCTGGGCTGCTTGCAAGGGACCAGATGAACAGCAAAGTCCCAGAGGAGACTGCAGCCTGTCCCGCTTTCCAGAGCCCACCCAGAGTCCTCCTCCTGCCCCCCAACCACTTCAGCTTCCTCTCCTCAGCCTGCAGCTTCAACCCCGACAAAGACTCTGCTTCTACAAGGAACACAGGTGTCGTGGGCCAGCTACAGCTTCCACATCTGGGACCACTTCCATGTCCAGCTTGGAGGATACAAGGGGGAGGCTCATGTCCCCATGGGGGCACAAGAGGGCATCGTGGAGGGAGGGGTACTGCCAAGAGCAGGAGACAGCAGTATCCTCACTGGAGCCAAGCCCTGGCCGCTCCCAGCACTCACCCTCAGCACGTACCTGGGGCACCTGGTCTGTGTTGAACAGCCTGGGGAGTTTCAGGCTCAGCATCTTGATGCCTAATTGGCAGGGTTGGTAGGAGACAGCCCTTGCCTGTCACCGGGTCTTGCTCAAAGTGCCGCCATGGCTGGGGTCCCAGGCCACATTCCTGAAAGAGGACATGGAGAAACCATCAGCTCAGTCACTGCCTAACTCCAAGCAGGTCAGGTAGGGTGGACCATCCAGCTCCTGGCTGTGCACTCGCTAGCAATGGCAACACAGAGTTCCTTACACCCACCCAAACCAGGCGTGGGGGTGCACACCTGTGATCCAAACACTCAACAGGCTGCGGCAGGAGGACTTCCATGAGTTCGAGACCAACCTGGGCCACATAATGAGTTCAAAGTCAGACTGAACTACACAGCAAAACCCTGTATCAAAAAATCAACGCTCTGCCAATAAACCACCACACTGTGAATGGAACATTGCATGGTACGCCCTTGGTCTTTGCTTCAACTTCTCAGTTCAAGTCACCGAGGCTCTCTCCTCTGAAGTGCCACCCCTGCACCTCGTGACAGGGCAAGACACAAAGACGCAGGACTGGGGAAAGCTCAAGTGTACTGGTAAACCCCCAAGTGGTGCTGGGAGCCAAGGCTGGGGCTCGTGGTCCCACCTGCCAACCTTCCTCGGGTCCCTTGGGCTTGAGTCAATTTCATGGTCAAAGAAAAGACACAGTCTTTATGTCACAGCACAGGTCATCAGGGTACGAGGACCAGAATAGTAGTTACTGTGTCAGAGTAGTGAAGCACAGAGTAGCGGGGTATAAACCCTTTGGTTATACAGAGCAACAAGGTAGCAACCTCGGGAGCGATACAAAAAAGTACCAGATTAATCAATCAGCTCCATGATGACGCTGGTCCCCGCAAAAGCCACCAGTCCAAAGCCACGTAGGAGCTACATGCAGAATTCTCTGTTCTTACAGGCTGCAGAAGCTTTGAGGAAAAGCTAGAGCTCCGCTGCCGGAAACCTTGTACCTGTGTGAGCCAGCACCAGGAAGCAGGCACCTTTCCTCCTCCCTCCACACCCCAGAAAACCTGAGGAGGGCGTCAGGTTAGAGGGGGGGCCCATGCTTTCTGGTGTTATGTCATTTGATTAATGTATTTTTATTTGGAAACAGAGTCTCACGGTACAGCCCAGGGCGGCCTCGAACCCAGTGACTGTCTTAACTTAGCCTCCTGGCTTTATTATTTATTTATTTATTTATTTATTTGTTGGTCTTTTGGAGATAGGGTCTCACTATGAAGTTGAAGTTGGCCTTGGTCTCAGTTTGTAGCTGGTCTCAACGATCCTCTTGCCTCAGCCTCTCGAATGCTGGGATTATAGCTGTGCTCCTGAATGCCCCCAGTGCTTGTTCACGGAGGTAGGGGTGGGGGTGTCCATCAGCCCCTCCCCCAAACAGTCACTTCAGAATAAAGAATCAGAGTGACCCCAAGGGTCCTTCCCTCATTTCCGAACAAGCCCTTCACTCAGGGCGAGGCTGCGGCTGGGCAGGCTTCCTCCCAGGTCTAGGCCAAGACCCCCGAATAGCAGAGCAGCCAGCCACTGCGGGCCACTGAACCACACCTCCAGATGCCTGTGCTCTGTGGAGCGGCTTTGTAGGCTTTGCGACAAGATGCCAGAAAGATCAGACTCTGAGAGGCGCCTCACAGAGGGGCGCGGAGGCCGGCAGCCCACTGCAGTGGCCGCCGCCACCTGTGTGCCTGTCCTCTGGGGCTGAGGCTGACAGTCCCCGCAGGCTCTGCTTCCTGCACACAGCAAGCGGGGGCTGCTGGGGAGCCAGGGTCTACAACGATAGCTGGGGGAGGACAGGTGGCACTAGGTGGGCACTGTCCTCCCAGGCAGGAACTGGCTGCTGTCGCCATGCTGTCCTCTCCTTCCTGGCCAGACCTCTTTCATGTGACAAAATACAGCACAGATCCCAGAAGGCGACAGAGGCAGTGTTGATCCTGTCACTGTGCAGAAGACTTTAGGCACTGAGGTGGGGGCAGGGAGACAAATCCAGAGCACAACCCAGCTGCCTTCAAACTCGAGGCAATCCTGCGGCCTCAGCCTCCCAAGTACTGGGATTATAGGTGTACATCACCACACCCAGCAGAAGAAGCATTCATTACTGAAAGCCCCAGTCAAATTTAAAAAGCATGCTGATGTCCCAGGTCACCCGCACTCACTGCAGAGTGCCATGGGCTTTGTCATCACCCCATCCCTACGACACTGTCCCTAAGGACCCTGAGGGGACGGAAGCACGAGGTACCCAGCAACCAGAAGCCCTCCTGACTCTCCTGTGTAGCCTAAGCATGGAGAATGTCCTGCCCATGGGACAGGAGAGCCGCACACAGAGCTTGGGGCACCCACAAGCCAGGCCTTCCAGGTGTGACCGTGGCTTTGCTGAGGAAGCCACCCGACTTCAGCCTTTGTCGTCAGGGCAACTGGACGTCCACACTACCAGGCAAGCGGGAAGCTAAGGAGATGCCAGATGCAAAGGTGGGGATTGTGTGCTAGGCGCACAGGAGCCCACGGGTGGGCTTCAGGCAGATTCTCAGGTTATAGGTAAATCCGTGCATGTGCGCAGGTGCCCGAGCTCGGGTACATACACATGTGTCACTGGGAATGGAGCCGTAGCTTCCATCAAATCTTCATTAAAGTCTGAAGCTGGGACGGTTTAGGGCCAGCCCCCGTACGGCACCCAGTACACACGACTGAAGCTGTAGCCAGGTCCTGATGTGCCCCAGGAAATCCCACCCAAACCAGAAGTGGCTGGGCCAGCTCTGGCAGTCTCTATGCCACCTGATGGATGTGGGTCATGTCCCCTGCAGAAGCCTGCCCGGCCCTGCCCACTGGCTGGCTGGGCATGCCCCACCCTGGAGAAGCCAGCTCTGCAGGATGTGCCAGTCCTGCCTCCCGATCTGAGGGGCCACACCCGGAGGCCACAGGCTGGAGCTCACCTTTACCCCAGCTCTCGCTGGGCAAGGCTGGCCTCTGTTCACTTTGGGTCACCCAGGAAGCACAGGCTGGAGCAGTGGCCCCCTTGGCCTCTGCTCTGCATTCCTTGAGTGTCCCCACTGGGGCTGGGGCAGCTCGGGTACAGTCCCTAAACCTGGTAACTTCATCATGGGTGTAGGTGAACCTGCAGGGGCGGGTGGCTGTGGAAGTCTTGGGACACGGACCCCTGGTTGGCTGGGGCTGTCTTATGCAGTGTGGTCCGCATGGAGGTGGGGGTTAGGGACAAGGACAGGTGGCCACATTCGACATGGAGGTCAGAGGCCAGGCGGAGACAGAGTGCCTGGTCGGAATGTGGTGGGCAGATGGCCAAGGTCTGGGACCAAGACGGCAGAGGAGCTGACGGCTGGGGAAGGAGAACCGAGGTGTTGACATCAGGCTCACCCCTTGTGTCCTCAAGACGCCAGAGCCCTTTCTCACTTGAGTGAAGATAGTAAAATCATCAGTGGCTCTGTGTGTGTCTGTCCATAAATGTGTTTTCCTGTTTAACAGGGCTCAGAGCCATGCCATACACTTTCCCCAGTGTGACATCTGTCTCACCATGACAAGATGGCTTTGGCATTGATATTTCATTAAATCCAAAAGAAAAAAAAAGTGTTCTAGTTTTTAGGGGGAAAAGATCCAATTCTGCAAATAACTAACATTCGCCTATAGTTTAAGACAAAATGCATGCTGATGTTTCACACTGTTTTATTTACTTATTTATTTTTCTTAATTATTTATTTAAATTTTTTTGAGACAAGGTCTGGCTGTGTAGACCAGGCTGGCCTTGAACTCCTAGGGATCCTCCTGCCTCAGCCTCATGAGTGCTGGGGTTGCAGGTGTGAGCCACCAGGCCTGGCTTTTGCTATTCTGTATGCCTTTCTCACACAGAGCCCGGGATGGGAGTCTCCTCACTCGGCAGATGTGCATGCGTGTACACACACACACACACGCACACGCACACACACATACTCAGGCACACACACGCACAATTCCTCCAAGCAGTGGAGCTAACAGCACACCCACTGGAAAAGGTGCGTGGCAGCGTTAATCCAAGTCCTCGGGAATCTAGCATAGAGGCTGAGCTGTACTCATCTGGAATCGAAGCTAAGGCCACCTCTTGTCACATTCTGATGTAACAGAATTTTGGATAGCACCATCACTTTTCTACTTTAAAATTTTAAAAACAATGCCCCAAAGCATGATTTTGCTTGGTTTCCTAAGATGAGGAAAGAGAGGTTTGTATTCAGTTAAAAAAAAAAAAAAAAAAAAAAAAAAAACACCCTAAATGACATACACCTGGCACACACCTGTCATCCCAGCACAGGGGAGGCTGAGGCAGGACTATCACTGGGAATTAGAGGCCAGCCTAGACTATAATGGGTGACCCAGTCTGAAAACAAAAAAATCACATTCCAAGCAACAGGAAGTTGGTATTAGTGACTCTTCTGACAACAAAACACCAAGGCACCTGCCAGATAGCGAGCATTCAGTCCAGGTTGGCCAAACTGTCACCGCTGTCCCCCAGCCCATGAGGCAGGCCCTCTCCTGTCCCTCCTGCACTGTGCTTGTTAAACCGCCTAGGACTCTTGCCCATCACCCTGACTGGTGCTGTAGCAACAGTTGCCATGGTGACCTCTCAGCTGGGCTTTAGGACTCAGCAGGGGAACTGAACCTTTTTATGTTCAATCCCAACTATTCTAAATATTTACCGCTAGGCTGTTACTGCACATCTGGTAAAAATCAGAGTGATATCTCTTGCGCTCAAGGCAAAGAAAACTGGGCTGAGGGCTGGAGCTGTAAGTCATGGTCTATCTGTCCACGATGGTTATGAAAATGTTACAGAGCCAGGATAACAGACAGGAAACAGTGTCAAGACAAGCTGTTAAATTAAAAGAGCAGGTCAGGGGTCAGCTTGACTCTTTGAATAGTATCTACACAAAACTGTAGCACTCAGAACTGCATGTGTTTATGGACAGAAAAATACCTTGGGGCTGGTCCTCCCTGAGGGTCGCCGAGCCTAGGGGCTCCCCAGCCTCCCTGTGCCTGAGACATCACCTTCTCCGCCTGCCCGGTGCTCCAGGCCAAGTACAAACAACTTCCCAGTGCCTTCCAGGACAGACTCACTTC